CCCGTCGGCGGTATCTTCAACCTGGCCGTCGTGCTCCGTGACGCCTTCATCGAGAACCAGACCGAGGCCGACTTCGCCACCGTCGCCCTGCCCAAGATCAACGGCACCATCGAGCTGGACAAGGCCTCCCGCGCCCTGTGCCCCGAGCTGGACTACTTCGTCTGCTTCTCCTCCATCTCGTGCGGTCGCGGTAACGCCGGCCAGTCCAACTACGGTCTCGCCAACTCCGCCATGGAGAGGCTGTGCGAGGCCCGCCAGGCCGCCGGCCTGCCCGGAGTCGCCATCCAGTGGGGAGCCATTGGTGACGTCGGTCTGATCCTGGAGACCATGGGTGGCAACGACACCGAGGTCGGAGGCACCCTGCCCCAGCGCATCCAGTCCTGCCTCAACACCATGGACGTCTTCCTGCAGCAGCCCCAGCCCGTCCTGGCCTCGATGGTCCTGGCCACCAAGCGCCGCGGCGGCAACAAGGAGGCCTCCATCAGCGCCGTCGACGCTATTGCCAACATTCTCGGTGGGTACATGGAAGCAGACACGGGCGGTTTGATTTGTGCTTTAGCCGCCCGGAACGAAGCTTACCCTGTGCCCTTCTCTATTTCCACAGGCATCAAGGACGCTAAGTCTATGGCTCCCACCCAGACCCTGGCTGACCTGGGTATGGACTCCATCATGGGTGCTGAAGTGAAGCAGGTCCTGGAGCGCAACTACGACATCGTGTTGAGTGCCCAGGAGATCCGTGGTCTGACCATGGGCAAGCTCTCCGGCATGTCCGGCGGCGCACCCCCTGCCGACACCAACACAGTCCGACAGGCCTCCCCTCCCAAGGACATGGTCCAGGTAAGAATTCAATTCTGAACTTTCATCGAATGCCGTAGTCGAGTGATATCTCTGAATCTAATCTCGTTTAAATGCGCCTTTCAGGTCAAGTACAGCAGCACCTCCGCTCTCATCCCCACCGAGGTGATTGTCAAGATGCCCACCGCCGCCCCCGCCGACTCCACCCTCCGACCCGTCTTCATCGTCCACGCCATCGAGGGTGATGTGACCGCCCTGCTGCCCCTGGCGCAGCTGCTCAAGCGGCCCGCCTTCGGTCTGCAGTGCGCCGAGAGCTGCCCACAGAGCAGCATCCCCGAGCTGGCCGGCCACTACGTCAAGCAGGTCAAGAGCAAGCAGGCCAAGGGACCCTACACCCTGGTCGGTTACTCCTTCGGAGCGTGCATCGCCTTCGAGATGGCGCTGCAGCTCGAGAAGAGCGGCGAGAAGGTGGAGCTGAACCTGCTGGACGGCTCCCACTCCTACGTGTCCTCTCACACCGGCGCCTTCAGGGCCTCCCACGCAGTCCTCTCCCCCGAGGCTGACGCCCTTTCATACTTCGTCCTGCTCTTCCGCCCCGACATGGACTTCGTCAAGGTAAAAGGCAGAGTGAGGAGTACAGACACCGCTACGCCAAGTAAACACGAGTCAATACTACAACTGGTTCCAAAATGTTTTCAGGTCAAGGCAGATCTCCATGCCCTGGGTAGCTGGGATTCTAGACTGCAGCGTGTTACCGAGCTGCTGAAGAACGCCAGTCACTTCAACAGCGAACAGTTGGCTAAGGCTGCCACTGCATTCTACAAGAAGCTGGTCATTTCTGAGTCTTACAAACCCGCCAGCAAATTCAACGGTCCAGTACTCTTTGTTAGGGCAAAGGACAACTTCCTCCAGCTTGGTGAAGATTACGGTCTCAATGAGGTAAATTGGTTTTAAATTTGAGATTATCGTAGAACTGTAAAGTTTCAACTGCAATGTATATTCATAAATAAACTTAATATTTCAGGTGTGCACACACCCTGTGAAGACTCACCCTCTTCCTGGCAACCACAGAGAAGTGATCCTTGGTGAATCAGCAAAGAAGATCGCTGCACTCATCAACTGAAAGCATCACGTCATTTCTCATATGAACAAAGATATCATTTTACATCTACTTTGAACCATTTACGTATTTCTCGTAAACATACAAATTGTTACCTCATGTGTTCAAGTATTGAGCAATGGGTCTGTCAGTCCATATCTTAGTTATTATTTTAACTAAATCTGATTTAAAATCAGTAAGTATGAAATCTCATCTCATTTTAAGTGGTTCTTTGATGTAAAATGGTTGTTTGTACATTGTTCTGTAGAGTACAAAGTCATTAGCATTCCAACTAGTGAGAATGTTGGCCTGATCCCTTGTGATGTTTTCACATCCTTTTCTGTGATTGAGAAAAGTGTGACCAAAGAATGTAAATGGTGTGCCCCCTTGAGTACTAAAATTTTACCAATCTACATAATTTTACAATGATAATACTCACAATGATATTCAATGGGATACGTTCTTGTTAGTAATCTTAGTCTCTATTTTAAAAGGAGCTGATACTTAACAAGTGTAACTGGAAAGAACTTGTTTAAAAATTACAGCGCTCATTTGTCTTCAAAGGAAGTTATTGCTTCAGAACAAAATGTTAAAATTAAAAGATCCCGTAAAGATCTATAATCTTAACTTCTATGGAGTCGAATGTTGCGTGACATTCAGCTTGTTAAGTAAATCAAAAATGTATAGAGTTTAATTTATGTTGGACTGTTGCTGTGATCCTCAGAGGCTCCAGATTAGTTAGGTTCAATGCAGCTGTTTATGTTTGATGCACCCTTTAAATCCTGAGGGTTTCCTGTACTAGATTCCAAATTGCATGCCAATTCCCTCCATCTGAAATCATGTTCAAGTCCCATGTCATACTTGCATTTAATAACATATTAGTGCATATTTTCCGTGAAAATATAGTGGTTGACCTGGTGCCTTAAACTTGTTATCATAATGCGTCCAAGTATACTAAGTCAAAAAGCCCCCAAACATATTGCCATAAGTATGATTGTAACAGCTGCAGGGTAATCTTTTCCATAAGTGCTAAGCTATTTTTTCTTTTTGTGATGGAAGCTTGTAAAACTGTTTCTCAAGCTTGAAAATGTTGATTACATGTATATTTTTGTTTACTACTTCATAATTTAT